TTTTTCAAAATTGATTTTTTGTCCAGAGTGTTGTGAGAAGTTATTCAAAACGTCAATTATAGCATGACAACTTTTGTATTAATCTTGGAGAATAGGATAATGTCATATGCAAAGAAAAGGTGTGAAAGATTTGGACCTTTCTTAGACAGTCGAATTGATTTTCACTGTAGATAGTCTACAGAGAGAGATATGCTACGTGAAAACATTTTCATGCACATTATAAACAAGTATGGGGATAGGCGATCTCCCTGACGTATAACTCTTATCGGTGAAAAGAATTGTGTTTTAGAACCGTTGATTAATATAGAAATGGAAATTGTTGTAACACATGACATAATTAAGGAAATCATAGGAGAGGGTATGTTGAAATAAAACAAAGTTTATCATATAAAATACCATTCCAACCTATCAAAAGCTTTCTCTAAATCAAGTTTTAAAAGCATTGATGAACATTTACTTTTCATTTTAGCAAAGTAATTTATAGTTTCCTGCACTATTATAGCATCGTCAGAGGCTCTTTCCCCTTGTTGGAAACTCGTTTGTGTTGGACCTATAATTTTGTTAATCATTGGCTCGAGCCTATTGACAATTATCTTGGTAATAAGCTTATAAACCGTATTACAAAGACTAATAGGTCTGAATTGTTGTATAGTAGTAGGATACTTTACCTTAGGAACAAGACATATCAAAGTTTTATTTAGTTCCGGAGGGATTACCTTGAACTAAAGATATTTTCACAAAAGCGAGTGACTTTCCCGCCTACATCTGACCAATATTTTTGGTAGAAGAATGGATGTAATCCATCTGGGTCTGGAGCCTTATAGGGTTTAAAACTGTGTAACGCAGAGTGAATTTCTTCTTGATGCAGAGACTCATTTATCCTATGAATGTCACTAGAAGAAAGCTGGCAACTATATGAGTCCTTATGGGTTTTGTTAGAAAGTAATTGTTCAGTTGCAAATAGCTTATTATAATAGTTTAGAATTAAGTTTTGTAATTCATTAGGACTAGAAATCCAGTTGCCTACCGTATCTTGTAAAGCATTGATTCTATTTCTCCGACGTCTATGAAGCATAGACATGTGATAAAATTTTGTATTTGCATCCCCGTCATTTAATCAATTAATACGAGATTTTAATTGCCAAAATTCTTCTTTTACGCGCAATATGTGGTTGTATTCTAAAGTCAAAAGTTTCCAAATTTTGTAGGAACATACTTGTAGGATAATGGATAGAAGATTGAATCCATGTTAGCCTAGCCAAAATCTTTTTTTTTTTTGTTGGAATATATTACCAAAAGTATTTTGATTTCATCTTATGGCGACTGCCTTAAACTTATTAATAGTAGTCATGAGAGGCAAATCATCCGACCAAGTGTCATGGACAATTTGTTGAAACTGTGATGCCCATATAGTTTCAAATCTAAATATCTTATGCTGAATAAAATGAGGAGGTTCTAAACTAATTAAGATCGGGCAATGATCTGAATGAGTACGTGGAAGATGCCTAACTGTTGTTTCTGGATATAGGTTTAGCCAATCATAATTAGCTAGAAAACGATCAAGTCGTTCTAATATTGTATGATTATGTCTCTGTTTGTTTGTCTATGTAAAACGACTACCTTGATAACTTAAATCAATTAGTTTACAATAACTCAGGCATTTAGCAAATTTATCCACCCTATTATTTCTTATAGGTAGACCCCCAAATTTTTCCGTAGCCTCTAAAACCTCATTAAAATTACCCCCTATTAACCAAGGCATACCAATAATGTTATGCAAATTAGTTAAATTATGCCAAAGAACATCACATATATAGTGAGTTACTTGACAATTAACACTAATGAAATAACACATATACCGCACTCAAGAAAAAGAAATAGAAACATACAAATTCTATCGCTAATGAAAAATCCGTCGTTAATTCTGTTAGGTGTTTGCCATAATTTTCTTACCATATTTGGTTTTCCTATCTCTTGAAGGAAAAGGGCAATATAATTTCCTTAATTGGGTTTTCCTTTTTCTAAAAGGAAATTATAAATTCTTTCATATTTGGCTAGTCCATTTTCTTGTAGGAAAATGTTTGGAGTTCTATAAATTGAGGATCCGCCCTTCTCATTCAGTAGCATCCACAATGTAGCCATAGGAGGCTTGAGAGTCTTGTTTAGGGGAATAATTTACGGGAAAAGTGTTAGTGTGTCACTCGTGTTTGCCTCTTCGTGAGGTTGTTCTCTCGATATTTTGTACTCTCTTTTATTATAATGGATTGCTCATCTCCGTCGTGGACGTAGGTCGGTTGACCGAACCACGTTAAATGTTTGTGTCTCTTTTGGTAGATTTCTCCTTTGTTGTGTGATTTATCGTTGTTCAAGATTTGCTTTGCTAGCTTCCGCATGACACCTGACTTTTTCCGGTCCTAACAAATTCTAAGCGATGATTACTGACGACTTTTGTAACTGATTCCTGCTCCTTTGAATTGATTAAGCTAGCGTTTGGACATAGATTTGATTGAAACTTGAAAAAATAATTTTTGAAAGTTGAAGTAATGTTTATTTGAAAAAAAGTTGAAGTTTTGTGAGTGAAAGATTTTTTTTCACTAAACCAGTTTTTGGGAACTTGAAAATAATTAAATTTATTTTTTCCAAAACATAATCATATTTCATAAACAAACAATGTTTATAATTTTTTTTTTTAAAAAAAATAAAATTCTATGGCCAAACAGGGAGCTAAGTAATTACACATTTCAAGTAAAGAAGCAAAGACAAGATAAACATAGGCAACTGAAACATGGAATCATTTGTTGAATTATATACACACACGAAGTAGAAACCAGTTAAAAAAGGAAAAATAATTATATAAATCTGAGATTGAGAAGTGAAAAAATATTCGAGTGCCTATTGTGTGTTCTTTATTTGAGAGCCAGTTTATTCCGTGGGTTGTCCTCTCTCTGGACAAAAGTGAGTAGTAATATTTACAGTTGTATCCACTCCACGTGCGCCCTACCCTTTAATCAATATGACTATGACCTCGGATGCCATTTTCTACCCCCAATATATACTCCTCCCACACGGTATAGGTCAAAATTAAATGAACTATATTACTTATATTTGAAAAATTAAATGACCTTTCTATCTGATTCAGCTTTCTCAAATGATTGTTAGTAAATACTGCCTCACTTCACTTTTATTTGTCCACTATTAATTTAGTACACTTCTTAAAAAGTATTTCTTATATTCCAATTTATATGAACCTATTTTCTTTTTGAATCGTTCCAAAAAGAATAATCCCTTTCTTAATTTGGTAATAATTTAGCTTAAATTTATAATTATACCCTTAATGAGAAACTTTTATAACCACAACAAATTCCAAAAGTCTTCATTTTTTTTAAAAATTTCGTGCCAAGTCGAACAGGTTTACATAAATTGGAACGGAGGGAGTAATAAATAAAGTACATAATTTACTATAATATCCATATTAATTGGTGTATAGTCTTAAAGGGTTTGGAAAATAATTTGGAATGAGTAATTAAAGCTAAGGGTAAAAAAAGAAAAATAAATTATTCTCTTGATATACAAAAATGAAAGTACAAATGAAAATATATTTTTAAAATACTTGACAACTAAAAGTGAACGGCTGGAGCATCTTGTATACATAATTAAAAATGATAGGACACTTTTTAATACTCCCTCCGGTCCAAAATAAGTGCTTTTTTGAATGTTTTTACACAGATAAAGAAATTCACCTTTTAGCATTAATTAGCAATGGAATTGACCATATTAACCTTTACTATCTCACATAAACACTCCTAACACATATTCCAACACTATTTACTCCAAGGACCATGTAGAAAAGAAAATAATTAATTCATTCTTGAAATCTGAAAAAATTACTTATTTTGGACCACAAGAAAAAGACCGAAAAATCACTTATTTTGGACCGAAAATATAATTATGTTTAACACTTTTACCGATGGTGGTAAGCGGTAAAAATCGACGCATAAAGTAGTAGTTACCGCGGCGAAAGTTGTAGAGAATTGTGCGGTGGACACGAGTCTGTTGGCTACCGGGATGATGAAAGTCAAGTCAACGACTTTTTTAACTCGGACGAGTTAGCTGGTTAAGGCCTTCAACTTTGGTCGGGAAATGATCGGCGATTTCATAAAATTGGCGGCAATGCAACTATATGGTGTACTGAAAGTGGACCCCAGTACATACTGTACAGCTCTTTTACACATCTCTCCTCTCGCAACTTGTGCTTTCCTTTTCCCGAAAATAAGCTATTTTTTGTTCCCTCTCTCTCCTGCTCATTTCCACTTTTAGCCCTGTGAGATATCTACTGTAGTACATGTTAGCTTGTAGTATCTCATACAAAAATTTACAACCAAAACAAGAAATATAAAAGAGGTTATACTTTTATTTACTATATTCAATTTCAATTTGCTTAGAGTTGAGGTCGTAAGATCTACTTTTAAGGTAAGAGTAATGTTTGCGTATATATGATCTCCTCAAGCTTTACTTATAAGATTATACTCAATTTATTGTTATTATAATTGAGGTATATTTTAAATTCCTTTAGCTGGTTATGGTAAAAAAAAAGGAAAAAATGATAACGGACTCAAACTAATTTGAGTTTGAGACGAATAGTTGTTAATGGTGATTTTGGTATCTTTAAACCAAGAGTCTTGGTAATTTAAACGTGGTGTACGTGGACAATGTCGATTTCTATGCCTTTCATGAAAGTTCATTCTTACAGAGTACTACTAAATGTTATTTAATGTTTGATTAGCCACTAACTCAACAGTGGCAGTTTAGTCAGATGAAAATAATGATATCCAGTACTCTGAAAATCACAGGTGTAATTTGCCTCTCTTTCCATTGTTTTCCTTTTTGGTTGTTTTTGCAGTAATCACAGTAGTAAGATACCAGTCACTGAGTCAGTAACTTTCACTAATAAGCCCCTGTTTTCAGCCATAAGAAGACCCC